AATTCCAAGCTATCAACTCACTTTCTTTCCACATGCATTGTTCACCAAATATCAGCTCCATATATTCCCGAGCAAACTGGTATGGTTGAAAGACGACATAGAACTATAAGAGAATTAGGTATGACTATGTTGTTTCATTGTGGTGCTCTATTTTTATGGGTAGAAGCTTTTTCCACAGCGGTATATCTCATGAATCGACTACCCTCATCAACTCTCAATTTTGAAACCCCATATTTTGCATTGCAAGGAAAACATCCAGTTTATTCATCACTTCACGCCTTTGGATCTAAGTGTTTTCCTTACACTTGGGACACACGGCGTCACAAGTTTGATCCTAAATGCTTCTTTGCGTCTTTGTAGGCTATAGTGAAAAACATAAGACTTATAAATGTTTTTCATCCATCAAGCAAAAATTTTTTTATCTCCCAGCATGTTGTCTTTGATGAGCAAATTTTTCCTTATAAGCGTATAAATAATTTTTGTATGACAACGACAAAGCCATTGGCTATAAATTTTTTTGACACTTGGTTACCACATACTGATATTCTTCTTTCTACAGGGACATATTCGACCTCCTCCATAGCTCCATGTTTAAGTCCCTTACCACAACTTCAAGACACAACAACAATTCCACAAAAATCCATGTCACCTAAACCTTCACCACAACCTCTCCTCAATGTAGTACCTCAAATCACCACAGAAAATTTTGAAAATGATCTTCCTAAAATTGATGATAGCATTGACATATCTGAAAATCCATCATCACATGAGACCCACGCACCAGAAACCTTATATATACAGCACACCGTAGCTCCACAACTAGTAACCACATCGACAGGATCACCAAATCCAACACCTTCCCCTTCAGAAAACATACATCCCATTGTCACTAGATCAAAACTAGGTGTGGTAAAACCCAAACCTAAGTATGCCTTGACCACAATCACCTCTGCCAATGTACCCGCGTGAGCCACAAAATATCAAAACAGCCTTAGCACATCCTGGTTGGAAAGCAGCAATGAATGAAGAGCTTGCTGCTCTTCATCAAACAAAGCATGGAAACTCATTCCTCGCACATCTAACATGAATGTCATTGGTTCAAAATGGGTATTCAAGTCAAAACTCAAGCCTGATGGGACTTTAGATTGACTCAACGCGCAGTTGGTTGCAAAAGGATATCATTAAGTTGATGGAGTAGACTACACTAAAACTTTTTCTCCTGTGATTAAACTAGGAACAATCTGGATGATTATAACTATCGCTCTTGTTAAGCGGTGGTCTATTCGACAACTAGATGTAAAAAATGCTTTTTTGCATGGCCTAATTTTTGTAGATCGTTATATGCAGCAACCACCAGGAATGGCAGATTTGGAACATCCAAAATATGTTTGTAAACTACAAAAAGCACTCTATGGGTTAAAACAAGCACCACACGCTTGGTTTGATCGATTTAGTGCTTTTCTTCTTAAATTTGGATTTTTTTGTAGTTTAGCCGATCCTTCATTATTTGTTTTTCACTCTGAATTTGGTTCACTAATCTTACTACTTTATGTGGATGACATATTGCTTACAGAATCTGCTCCAGAACTAGTTGAAAAGTTCATTACGTTATTAAGCAGTGAGTTCGCAATGAAAGATTTGGGACCAATTCACCACATTCTTGGAATGGAAATCATGACTACAACTAGGGGACTTCATCTATCTCAGTCCCACTACGCCCTTACCATACTTGAATGCTCCAATATGGTCGATTGCAAGCCAATGAGTACACCTCTTGAAGCTTAAACCAAAACTTCTTCCAATGAAATTCTCTTGGAAGACCCAAGTTACTATTGAGGTCTTGTTGGAGCATTACAATATCTTACACTCACTCGCCTAGATATTTCATTCAGTGTTAATTATGTATCCCAATTCATGCATACTCCCACGATGACACACTTAAAAATGGTTCGACGTATCCTCCGATATGTCAAAGGAACAATTGGAATGGGATTACATTTTTCTTCACATAGTACACTAGATATTTTTGCTTTCTCAAATGCAGATTGGGCAGGGTGTCCTACTACAAGACGATCAACCATAGGCTACTGTACATTCCTTGGAGGGAACCTCATCTCATGGTGTGCAAAAAAACAACATACCATTTCGCGATCAAGCATGGAAGCAGAGTACTGCACCATGGCTAACATAGCTGCCTAACTCACTTAGATAACATTCATTCTCAAAGATCTTTGAATTGCAATAACATCTCCTCCTATACTCTACTGTGACAATCTTAGTGCTCTTTATATGATAGTTAACCCTATATTCCATGCCCGAAACAAACACATAGAGGTGGATTATCATTTTGTGCGTGAACGAGTTGCATGTGGACTGCTTATCACTCAACATGCCTCAACTGATAACCAAGTTGCTGATCTCTTCACAAAGCCAATGTCAAAAGCAGCCCTTCAATATTTCCGAAACAAACTTTGCCTCCAACCCCGACAAAGTTTGAGGAAGGGTATTAGCAACAAACCACAGCTCGGCACACTCAACATTAGTGAGAGTCAATGGACCAATAAGGAAGCACAAGATTCTTGGAGAAAAAAGGGGGAAGACACTCACAATATTGCCTAAATCAGTGGAGAGACGTTGAGGGGCATTGGAGCTCTAACAACAATAAGTTTAAACCAAAATAATGATCTAGCAAGTCCTAAAAATCAGGAAAAATCAAACCATTTGTAGCAGCAGATTTTATGAGAAATCAGACCATTTGTAGTAAAAATCAGTGGAGAGAAGTTGAGAGGCATTTGAGCTCTAACGACAATAAGTTTAAACCAGAATAATGATCCAGCAAGTCCTAAAAATAAGGAAAAATCAGACCATTTGTAGCAACAGATTTTATGAGAAATTAGACCATTTTGAAGCAGATTTTATGGAAATCATTTCATTGTATTACTTGTTTAAATACTCCTCTTGTAATGCCTAATGGTTCACGTTGCCAATTATTGAATAAGACACATATCAATTCAAGCTTTCTTCTTCCTCTGTTTTTATTTTTTTTCCTCTTTAAACTCATTTAAGTGCTTTGGGAAGCTTTGAAGTTGAGTGGTTAATGAATTAGAAGCAACATGGCAAAAATGGAGAAAAAATCACGTTGTACCAGTTCAACAGTGATAATTTGTCTTTGTACCAGTACATTGAGAGCATTGCATCACAATTCCCCAGTTGTTACAATTGTAATAAGAATTATGCAAAAACATTTTTTTTTTGTTCGTGGCTGAGTTTTTCCCATTTGTTATGCGGTACACTTCTGATAACACAAGACATTACTGTCTTGCCTTGTAGCCACATCATACATTTTGGTTGTGTGAAAGTCCATTAAGTTTAGATATATGAATGATAACCAATTATTCTAATATATTATCTTTTTGGTACAAAACTACTGGCTCATTTTTTTTCCATTTATTTTAGTTTATTGCCATTCATGCCAACTCTTTGGGCATGCAGCTACTCTTGTCATGCTTGCTTAGAATCATGTTGTGATATGTCTACTTAATGTCAATCAGTTTATACATGACCATGCATGGCAAATTATTATTATAGTAAGATTTGTTTATGTCAATTATTATCATTTAGATTTTCCTGCCTATTAAGAATTTGCATAATAATTCTTATTATTAGAGGACAGCCCTAGGCGTAATGACAAGATTGTTTTATTGTGACCTGAAAGTCATGAATTCGACTCACGTAAACAGTCTCTTTGCTTGTCACCAGTCCCTCAATGATGAGAGTCTCGTGTACTGAATATGCCATTTATTAAGAAATTTGCATACAAATGTCATTTACTGCGTTGGTTTCTATTCAAATGCATTTATATCGTTTTTTAAAATTTTATTATCTCAAAAAAGATGGGCTTTAACTAGTGTGCTTTGCATGCGGATCCCTCACTAGTATATACAAAAGGGAGGGGGAGAAGAAAATCCATCTCCTCTCCTTAACAGCCATTAACCGGACAAAAAAACAGCGCAAGACCCAGTTTGGCTGCCACAGCTTTACCATTCTCAAGACCTTTATCTTAATGGTTGTTCATTTCTATTTGTATTTGCTTTTGGAGTGTTACTTTCCACTACCTCTTTACGGCGTCTCTTCTGCTGCGAGTAGCATCTTCTAGTTGGAGGCAATCCTGACACTCCCCACAAGGACTGTTGATGCACAACTGAGTTGCGATAAAACCATCTTGTTTCAAACTTGTGATTCTGTTATTTTAGAAATTAAACATTTGTCATTTATTTTCTACAGACGTTGGATTTACTTTTCGTCTAATACTATTAGAACTCGGTGAAGATGTGGTTTTATTTTATTAAGCTAACTCAAAAAATTCCATTTTAGGTAATTTTGGTTTCGATAGAATTTTAATTCCTTGTGGATTAGGGTTTTTGGGTGTTCCTATAGAATGTAATTTTGTTGTACGCCTAGTGCTAAAGAGAAAATCTGAAAAACTTTCTATGAAACAATGATATCACGTTGTTATGGACTTGCAATATCACAAATCAATTTGATAGAGACAACCGGCCTGAAAAATTCCACTTCATCCGATGTGGTGGCAACGGGATGAGGGGGAGAATAACATCCCAGTATCTCTTTTTTAAAAGAAATGTACCTTCTTTTTTTTGCCAGTGCTACAGCGGAATAAAAGAAATATACCTGCAGAGCCACAAAAACACAGTTGAGTGTACGAGAGTCCCTCTACTGCAAGATTGAGTAGAAACAAATAGTCTTATTCTCACATACAGAGAGACTGTTTCAAATAGTCAGAATAAATTACATTAAAAATGTGCCATGCAAGTTATAGCAAAGTGCATAGCTAAACTAAAAAGGACCATTCAAAATAACCTTCCAGATGCACCAGCAGTTTTCAGCAGATGTCAAATAGCATAATGATTCAACAACGTTGAAGCGATATAACAAACCATATAGGAAATCAACTTACTAAATTCTAATAGACTTTTGCTGGGGGCAAAAGAGAAAATAAAGTTCAACAATCAAATGAAAAGCAAAATACAACTGAAAAGTTACAAACTGGCATTCTTCCAAGCCTTCACAAAACGAGCATTGATAAGATCTAGGGAAGCATTTGGAAAGCAATCCAACAACAAAAGCTACTGTACTATTTTTGAACTGTACAAAAATATTTAAAAACAATGTACAAGGAGGTTACTCATCACTGTTCATTCTCCTACTCTTTATATTGGACTTAACTATCAACAAGTTACCGTTCAAAAAAAAACTATCAATACGTTAAGTCTAGGAAAGCACAAGGAACAAAAGATGGAAGGCATTGAGGTTACAAACCATAACTAGCACGCCATCACCATTGGAACCCTTTAAGGATTGTAAGATGGAAGCTAACTGAGGTAGCAAACTAGAGCCAGCACTTGATCCCATAAAAAAGCATCACTACTTTGTCCCTTAGTAGATAGGGAGGGGTGGTTAAGTGGCAGATCAATTAGGGCACTTGCCATGAAACATTTGAATATTGTCTTTGTCTTTCATCCATCATGGATGGCTGATCATTCAGATTAGCAGCCACCCCAAAGTGCCCACCAGAAAAACCAAAATTTCTGGTGCCCCAATTAGGTGAGGCATCTGATCCATACTGCCACTCCAAATGGCTTGTATGTGGCATGATAGGAGTTGAACTCCCCAAGCTGTAGTGTCCAAGGGGTGCCCTTGAATAGGGTCCATCTTGTTCTGTGAACCAGCCCCCTGTATACCGAGAAGATGTTTGTTCTGAGTGAGTGGGATAAGCAGAACCAAGATGAGTAGTTGGCATTGCTTCTACTGATATATCGACCCGACGACGCTTTTGTGCAGGCTTTTGATGTGATTCAGCCTTGGAATTGACAGCAGCAGCTGGACCATGTTCTATTGTGTCCTGCAGTTGTGGCTGGCCAATGGCTGCGAGGAGAGAAGCTGGAGGACTTGTTTTTGTTTCGTTCTGTTGGCATTGAACCTTCGAGGACGGGCATAGCATTGAGATTTTCCACTCATCCCGCTGCCTTTCTAGCTGTGCAATGCGTGCTTTAAGGTTCTCAACTGAGTACTCAGATTCAAGCCCATGATCTAGAATGCATTTGATTACAGCTCTGAGAGCAGTAATTTCATTGTTTGTGGCCCTATACTGTCAAGAAGTTGAATAAACATGAGACCACAGAATGGCAACTGGATTTTAGACTAGAAAGCTGACTTTTGTGAAGGAGAAGCAAAAAACAAACCTGTGCTACGGGAGAGTTGTGTCCCTCCTCACATTTTTTCTTGGCAAGCTGCTCTGAATATATCAAGTGACTTTGCAGGAGAGGCACTGGTGGGAAAATGTCAACAAGCTGAAATGCATAAATATACCTAATAGCCTGAAGCCGCCTCCCCTTTCCAATGAGATTGTGGATAAAAGCTGTCATACATGAAACATGAGTGTTAGGTTATCTCAAACCAGGGGAAGCCAGGATTCAACCTTTGAGGGTGCAACACATCAATAAAAATATCACCAACTTTTGCAAAATATTTCTAAGTTTAAGCATGAGAAACATATTAATATTCAACATTACAGTAAACTAGTCAACAATAAGTAAAACTACGATCACTGATATATCATAAAGGAAAACGTTCTTTCAAATCCCAAAAATCATTTAGAATTGACACAATGCTAGATCATTTCCATAATATAGCTTGCCCGGACCGAGCTTTCAGTGTTTGGTCGCAGTGGCCGTAATATGAAGGATCATTGTTCGGGAACAAAATAATAAGACTTAAGGGTTTCGCTATCGCTCTTCACCTAAAGCCGTAACTTCCTATTCAACCCAACCACTAGATATATCGTAAAGTAAAACATTTTTTCAAATTCCAAAAATCATTTATAATTAACACGATGCTAACAGTTAAAAAGTAAAGAGTACAATATTATGTTAGGAGAAAAGGAGAAAGGCAGTGGAAGAGTAGCAGATTACAATGACAATAGCAGCACACCATAGTGCAAAATCAACAAACTCACAAAGTACAGACTTTGCTAATCAAGTAAATCAATAACCTAACAATTTTGGTGAAGAACCTATCACTACTGTGCTCAGCCTTGAAGATTGGAGAAGCAAAACAACAATTTTGTGAAAACAATCTACGGCGAGATAGATAGATGGAAGCCATATATAGTAAGGTACAAAATCAAGCCAAAATCACCCAAAACCACATCACCTTTGCACAAAACAAGGCTAACCACACACCAAAATCACCGCAATTCATCACATGTTAGCCAAACAAAAACCAACAAAATAACAACATGTAGAATCAACTAGAAAGGCATCACCAGTGCGCAGAAACCAGACTGCCGACTTACCAAAACTTCTTCACAAATCAACCCAAATGCCCTGAATTGCCCAACTAATTACACCGGCCCTTTAGTCACATCCCAATTGAAGAAAAAAAAATCTAGAAAAGATCAGATCAAAAATTACATCAAGCGAAAATGGCCCAAAAACCCTAGTAACAAATTACCCATAGCACAAACAGATTACTCACAACACGAGTTGCCCACAACAAACTCAAGAGTCAAAAAATCAAACCAACCCAAAGTTCGAATAGCAACCTATATGAATTTAGTCACTGCTGACAACTTCTTAGCCAAAAAAAATAGCAAAAATTCACCAAAAACTAACTGGACAGCTGACCAACATCCTCCAATACTCTAGTTACACCCCTCTGATAGGGATTGAAGCATTAAAAACACTTGTAGGGACTGGAATCATTATCCGTTAAGCCTGTTCACGAAATTACTGTTCACGACATTGTTCACCGGATACTGTTCCCGCAATTCTGTTCATGTGAAACTACTCATCAGTTGAAAAAAAATCCTTGAATCACTGCTCTGATACCAAGTTAAAATGTAAAAAATACAATATTATGTTAGGAGAAAAGAAGAAGAGAAAGAGATACGAAGAGAATGAGAGAATAATATGTGTGTGAGCAGTGTTGCCCTGCGCTCTTATTTATATTAAACTCTATCTTGGGTAATTACAATATTATCCTAAATAAATATAAAACATAAAAATAAGAACTATAACACAAACTATCTCAGCAACTTCCTTTCAATATACACAAATAGATAGTTCGTGATCAAATAATGCTTTATTTCGATGCAAAATGGCATCCTCCATTTTATTTAGGAATTGACTATTTGAAAAAGTAGAAGATTTACGGCCTGCTAGCTTATTGAAAAAGAGTTAGGGCCAACTATATAATTTTTTTTTTTTTTNAATTGACACAATGCTAGATCATTTCCATAATATAGCTTGCCCGGACCGAGCTTTCAGTGTTTGGTCGCAGTGGCCGTAATATGAAGGATCATTGTTCGGGAACAAAATAATAAGACTTAAGGGTTTCGCTATCGCTCTTCACCTAAAGCCGTAACTTCCTATTCAACCCAACCACTAGATATATCGTAAAGTAAAACATTTTTTCAAATTCCAAAAATCATTTATAATTAACACGATGCTAACAGTTAAAAAGTAAAGAGTACAATATTATGTTAGGAGAAAAGGAGAAAGGCAGTGGAAGAGTAGCAGATTACAATGACAATAGCAGCACACCATAGTGCAAAATCAACAAACTCACAAAGTACAGACTTTGCTAATCAAGTAAATCAATAACCTAACAATTTTGGTGAAGAACCTATCACTACTGTGCTCAGCCTTGAAGATTGGAGAAGCAAAACAACAATTTTGTGAAAACAATCTACGGCGAGATAGATAGATGGAAGCCATATATAGTAAGGTACAAAATCAAGCCAAAATCACCCAAAACCACATCACCTTTGCACAAAACAAGGCTAACCACACACCAAAATCACCGCAATTCATCACATGTTAGCCAAACAAAAACCAACAAAATAACAACATGTAGAATCAACTAGAAAGGCATCACCAGTGCGCAGAAACCAGACTGCCGACTTACCAAAACTTCTTCACAAATCAACCCAAATGCCCTGAATTGCCCAACTAATTACACCGGCCCTTTAGTCACATCCCAATTGAAGAAAAAAAAATCTAGAAAAGATCAGATCAAAAATTACATCAAGCGAAAATGGCCCAAAAACCCTAGTAACAAATTACCCATAGCACAAACAGATTACTCACAACACGAGTTGCCCACAACAAACTCAAGAGTCAAAAAATCAAACCAACCCAAAGTTCGAATAGCAACCTATATGAATTTAGTCACTGCTGACAACTTCTTAGCCAAAAAAAATAGCAAAAATTCACCAAAAACTAACTGGACAGCTGACCAACATCCTCCAATACTCTAGTTACACCCCTCTGATAGGGATTGAAGCATTAAAAACACTTGTAGGGACTGGAATCATTATCCGTTAAGCCTGTTCACGAAATTACTGTTCACGACATTGTTCACCGGATACTGTTCCCGCAATTCTGTTCATGTGAAACTACTCATCAGTTGAAAAAAAATCCTTGAATCACTGCTCTGATACCAAGTTAAAATGTAAAAAATACAATATTATGTTAGGAGAAAAGAAGAAGAGAAAGAGATACGAAGAGAATGAGAGAATAATATGTGTGTGAGCAGTGTTGCCCTGCGCTCTTATTTATATTAAACTCTATCTTGGGTAATTACAATATTATCCTAAATAAATATAAAACATAAAAATAAGAACTATAACACAAACTATCTCAGCAACTTCCTTTCAATATACACAAATAGATAGTTCGTGATCAAATAATGCTTTATTTCGATGCAAAATGGCATCCTCCATTTTATTTAGGAATTGACTATTTGAAAAAGTAGAAGATTTACGGCCTGCTAGCTTATTGAAAAAGAGTTAGGGCCAACTATATAATTTTTTTTTTTTTTAAAAAAAAGGAGGCAATATATTAAATAAAAGGGAGTATTGTCTTTGACCAATATACACAAGAGTTAGACAATTCACATTTGTTTATGTAGTCTAAAAATAAATTATTTATTTCACTGCTTGAGGGAACTAGTAGTGGATCACTAATTTACTGAAAAAAAAACTAGGATAACCATATAAATTTCAAAAATCAAGGAGGCCAAAATGTATAAAATGTAGAGGGGCATTGTCTTTTAACACCATCTACACAGTGACAATTAAAGGCTTCCCGCCCCTCCTCCTTTTGGAATGTGTAGCTCCACCATTGTCTCAAACTGCTATGTAAATCATTATAGCCTAAACTTACTCATCTATGAATTGAAACCAAGAATGGTGAAAACCCACTTGAAAAGTGACAGAATCAGAATACTAGAACAAGTCACCAAAAATTCTTTGAATTCTTAAAATTTAAAAACAATTGTTACTTACAGAGAAGCAGGAATAAGGTTAGAATAAACACATCCCAACAATGATACAAGCCTACAAGGTGCAATTTACATGTCCTAGTAATTAGAATCCTCGTTTCTCCATCCTAATCATGGTTGTATCTTAACATTACAATAAAAACACAAACATGTGAAAAAAGTAGGGACAATAACGAAAGAGAGAAATAGGATATATGACTTTGCATCCTTATGATTTGATTACACACATCAATACTATTCTGCGGATGATGGAGAACTGAATATGATGGCCGTAAGTAGTATAGTTCTTTATAAAGTGATTATACTAGAATTAAGTTGAGTTGTCCATTAAATGGGTTTTACACTCAAGGAATCACTCATTGAAAAGATTCCAACTTCCCCAATCGGACGTTCCTAATCCAACCAACAAATCACTTGAATTTTATATTTAATGACCATCAATACCATTCTGATTTTTGACCTACTCTCTCAAACAAAATCTCTCCACATTAAAACCTCACTATAGCACGGTACCGGAGCTTGATTTTGATGGGTATCAATGGGTGTAGTTTAATCCTAATGGTTTAGTGGAAGGTTTAGAAGCTTGATTGATGGCCAAGGGTTACACCCAAACCTACGGTGTTGATTATAAGGAGATCTCCACTCTGGTTGCCAAGACTATCTATGTTTGTTTTTCAGTTTCTTTGGTTGTTAATTTTGATTGGCATTGTTTCAACTAGATGTCAAATATGAATTATCACATAGTGAATTACCTTATAGGATTATATGGAACAACCACCTAGGTTTGTTGCTCTGGTAGTGTTAACAGCTTAAAAAAGGCATTGTCTAGTTTGAAACAGAAATTGAGAGCATGGTTTGGGAGGTTCTCTTAGAAATTTCTAAATTTTGGCTTCATAGGTGCCAGATATATCATGTAGTTTTCCATCCATGGTTTTAGGTAACATTATTGTCATGGTATTTGTGGATGATATTGTGATCATTAGGACTCACATATTTATTGAAGTAGCCACATCTAAGAAGGGCATTAGTTTGTTACAAATGAAATATGCTCTTGATTTGTTGAATGAGATGGCTTTATTGGGTTGCCCTTTTGTTGGTACTCCTAGGGATCCTAATCACAAACTTATAATAGGCAAATGCGTGTTATTTGGAGAGAGCGTTGCCTAGTTAGGAAATTAAATTCCATCACTAACTCAATTTGATATCTCATATACAACTACTGTGGTGAGTTCAGTGTATGGGAGGTCCCCGAATATGACATTGGAAAGATGTTATTCGAATTGTACAATATCTTAAGCAAGTTCATGTATGTGGGTTATATTAGTCAAATGCGCAACTTACAATGGAAGGTTTCACAACTGCCAGGCAAGCTTTCCATCAGATTGAAGATCCACTACAATATATTGCACTTCTTTAAGGTTAAACAGGTTGCATGTAAAAGTAAAAAATAAAGGTGGCACCAATTTGGGATTCTACAAGAGACTCAGATCGATTTGTCTGTTTCAAGTCATAGGATCGTAAGATCCAGATTGGGATATTGAGAAACCATAACGCAAACATAAGGATTACATGCACAAAGGGGAGAAAAAGGCAAGGAGAGGATTGAACAATAAGTAGCATCATAGAGTAAGATAAGAGCATCTCCAATAGTACTCTCTATTTTAGGGAGAATCTTTTTTGAAATATAGAGCATCTTTGATAAAATTTCGAAATAGAGAGTTAAATATTTTAGACACCTCCAATGGGCACGCTATTCTAGTAGAAAAATACTCTTATAGTCAATAGCATTAATGAAGAATGTGTATATGTAATCTTTTATTCATTAAAAATAGAATAGAGAATGAATTGGGCTCTCCAAATGTAGAAAGCCAAAAAAGGCTCTCTATTTTAGCAAGTCTAAATAAAGTGCCTATTGGAACTTACTTTTTGACGGTTGCCTCTCTAAAATAAAGAATTGAATAGGAATAAAGAGCCTATTGAAGATGCTCTAAGAGTATCTTACAAGTAAAACTGCAAACCACATAAATCAGCAGGAATAGCCATGCCGCAGAGCGGTACCAACAAACTATCAGGATTATGACACATAGATGCATGTGCGCGCACACACACACAGTGGGAACACTTACAAGGAATCTTATCTGCCAGACCAAGGACCTGAAATAAATTAGTAGTCTGCTTCTGCTGATGAACAGCATCCAAAAGATCAAGAAGATCATTTGCATCAAAATAAGCAGCCAATTTGTAGGTGGCTAAAAGCTGCAGAAACCCTAAAACCTCCATGGGAAACATTCTTGGACCATCCAATTCTGCTCTCCAATCAACAGAAAATTTCATTGCCGATTCTTTTACCTGAGGCATAATCCCAGGTGAGATTCTCATAAGCTGCTCCAATAAATTAACGAAACTTGTCATGACAAATTTGTTATTTCTCTTCAACTTGGAGTAGTAGCAACATTGCAATGCATCCAAAACAAGCTTTGCTGGATCTGATGCATGACGAATGGAAGCCGGAACATCATTCCACATTGAATCAAGCTCCTCTCCTTTTCTATCCATGGTGGTGCATAAAAATTCAAAGTCATGCCTTTGACCCATAGACGAAGATGCTACTGCGCCGGAGCACAAATTTTCTGATGAAAATTGCCCAATCGTTGCTTCAGGATGAAGTATGCCGCTTACTACAAAGATGGAATAGACAAGCATTACTATGCAATAGATGATGCAAGCAAGTATCTTTCGCACTTTAATATCATATAGGTAAAAAATATTTTCAGGAGGTAACAAATCTAAAAATCAAAGTAGGTTCCTCAATTGCATTTGAAGACTTACCATGGACATTGTCGGAGAAACCAAGGGCTTCACATAACTCAGGAGCATGTCTAAACTGAGCAACAATCTTGAAAAGATTGAGAAGTTCATCGGCATCAAAAGCAAAGGCCAATCCATAGGCACCTATAAGTAGCAGAAAACCCATGATCTCCATACAATTTTCATTTTTGGCTCTCATTTTCTCTTTCCAATCAAAAGCAAGTTTGATTGCTTCTTCTTTCGTCTGAGGTTTAATTGTCGGGGAGAGTCTCACTAATTGCTCTAACAAAAGAATGCAACTCCTCCTAATGACATTGCCTCCAAAATCCTTATTTCTGTTATCTGAATGTGGAGAATAAAATCCCTGCATAGCATCCAAAACAAGCCTTGCCGGGTCAAACAACATTTGAAGAGCACTAAAAACTTCTTCGTGCATGATGAATTCATGCTCTTCCAAATGCTCACTCAAGAATAGCTGCAAATTTTTTCCATCCATATTAGCAAGGATAACAGCCATATTGGTGGCAGGAGAACAAACGTTAGCAATGGCTCTGCGGGGGTCTGGGGCAGTGGCCATGGCCTTGGGGGCGATGGTTGCAGTGATGACTGACATTCGTTTCATCTCTATTTGCTGTCGTTTCAGAGCCTTGTTGGTAGCGGATGAGGCAGTAAATTTTTTACCTGCATTCTGCATTATAAGCTGCCCGATGCATTTTTCAAGAATTTTTGGTGAGTATAGAGATTCAAGCTTGTGATCTACAATGCATTTCATTACAGCTCTCATAGCTGCTACTCTTTTTCCTGTGGACTGATTCTGCAAGTGATATTTGAGTCAGATATATGTGTGTGGGATTTGGTTCTTAAACAAGGAAGTTGTTAAATCATGAACCAGAAGCAGCAAACAAACCTGTGCCTTACGTGAGTTATCTTTCTTACGCATACTCTTGGCAATGTTTTTAACTTGCTTCAAGTAGTCTTTCATGATAGGCACGGGTGGGAACTTGTTAACAAGCCCAAATGAACAAATAAATCTAATTGCCACGAGATGCTGCTGCTTTCTGATTAAATTTTGGACTAGATCTGTCACAAATTAGAAAGAAAATCTTTATAACGGTTATGAGTACATGTGTGACAAAAATGTATCCATCAGGAATAGAAAAAAATGAGAAGACAACATAAAAATGAAGATTAATAATGCATGAACTCAGCCAAATACAAAGCAGGAGGAGCCTGTATCCATCAGAAAGCACTGGATGAACCCAATCCATTGATCACTCCTTCTCACTTCAAGGTTCCTCATACAAACGGACACTTATAGCAAGGAAAAATTGTTTTACCTCGTGATATATTTGCCAGACAAGGGAAGTGTACTTTGTTGACACTATGCATGTTTAATAGTGACATGGAAAGCCAGCTCTCAACACCATTGTTCAAGGTTGCCGTATCGGCCATTAACTCGAAGAACTCTAAAACACATCGGTCGTGGCGTTGCAACGCGGTATCGGGTGATACGACGTAAAAGAAAATGTTGAACATGACGAAAAATTCAGATCATATTGCGGTGTTGTGGAACCGTATCGGTCAATTCGGTGACGATATTTCGGCAACTCGGGATTGACTCGGCCAAGTTGTACGAGACTCGAGATTTATACGTATCGTGTAACAGTACCGTCTCTGAAAATGCCAAGATGGATATGACTTGACCAATTCGTATCGGTATCGGTCATACTTTGAACAATGCTCAGCGCACAGCTCTACAATCACATGCATGTGGATTGTGGCCATGTTTGTAAAACTTATTTTAGGCAACTTTTAGCTTTTAGCTTTAAACAAGATAAGGTGACAATAATTTAAAAAGCTAAAAAAAATGCTATTGGAAAGTTGGCTAGAAGATGCTTTTAAAAATATATTATTTTTAGGTAGATGTGTCTGAAGCATAGTTATCAAAATCGTACAATTTACAATTTGATTCGTACGATTCAGTTCAATATAGATACAAAACAATTTGTATCTTATATGAGAATCGTTTTAGAGTTGAATCGCACCTGAATTGTACGATTTGATTTGTATTTCACAAATCGCACGATTCTATCATTTTTTTTTTAAATTCAATTTTTTGGCAAAACGACGTCATTTTGTCACCTAAACAGTAAAACGACGTCGTTTTATATATAGAGGAACCCACGCCCCAATAAAAACTCAACCTCTTTTCTAGTTCTCTCTCTGACGTCGTTTAAACCTTGTCTTGCACTATCTAAAGCTAAAAGTCACGGTTAATGCTCTCGCATCATCAGTTGATTTTTACTCTCAATTCTTTCATGAATAATTTATTAGGTTCTAATTTTTTATTTCAAAATGTTGACATGTATGTTTTCTCCCAATCAATTTTTTTATTTATTCTTTTTCTATTCATGTTTGTAACATAATCTATACTAGGTGTCACTATTTTGGTTCTTAAATAGTCATGATTCTTTAATGAATTTGAAAATGGTTAAGTAAAGATGAAAATGAAGTAAAAGACTAGCGTATTTTCATTTAGACGACGTAATTATGTCAATTGATTATTTTTAAAATACAATAATGTTCAATATTCAATATTTTATCTATTTTAAATATGTAGTATTATTTTTTATTTTTGTTCAAATTTTGTATCGAATTTAACGATTCACAATTCTCAAATTTAGGATTTTGATTCACGATACAAATCACTATTTGACAACTATGGTTTGAAGTATTAAAAAAACACGGCCTAAGTCTTACTATTGCTAAAGTAACTCATGTGTAGGGTAGGGTGAAACGGAGCCAAGCTCAAAGCAATCCCTTTTCACTTCCTTCCTCAATCAATCGAAGGGTGGTTGTTTAGACGTATTCCTTATGTTAACTGTGGAGAATGTTACATAAATCAAAGGTCAGTTTGGTACATGGCTTGGGTAGACACTACGATACTTTCTCTGAGACGTGGTTTTGCGGTTCCCTTTCGAACTTTTATCTGATTTTCTTTCATTATTATACAAATTATATATAATCATCAATATTTAATCATATTTGTAATTGCTTTCACTCCTATATAATCATGCTTCTGTGCACACAAAATACAATAACCTTTTATGTTTCTGATAAGAGTTTCAAAGCGCACCCTAATCCTAACAACTTACCAGCTAGTTATGAAAAAAGTTAAGTGGTTGCATTTTCGTATTTTGAAAAAAAATTATAGCACAATAAATCAAAATATAAGTTTGAAAAACACTAAAATAATAAACAAATAAATTGCCAAAGAGGGTTACACCTTGGGGTTCCTTAAGTCATGGTCAACCTAGGGTTTAGGGTTACAATTTAGATCGAGAATTTATAAGATTCAAGTCGTGAGTCAAATTGGTTGGGTATTATATCTCTTTTGGATATTTAGATGACCATGGGTGGCTGTTGACCGGGTATCGTAGAGTAGGAAGATGCGTTTCTTAATCCGTGCGGGTTTGAATTTTTCTTACCACTGGTAACAGAGTTGGTGCCTTGCGAGGACCAAACCACTATTTGCTCACGTGGTACCGAGGTTGAGGGTTAGTATATTATTCCTGGGTTAGATTCATCACTGCCAATGCGTTGGTATACACCCTTCCTAAAAGTTAGATATTCTTGCGAGGATTGAGTGTGTGTGTGTGTCAGAATATTCTCGATGTGTTTATTCATGCGATGTCATACATCAAACCTGAGATAAAAGTTGTGTTTTGACATACATTGTGGGCTATTGTTAATTGTGCAAATGGTTGGTTATGATTTATTGTGGAAAGGAGTTTATAGTGGAATCGGTTTGTTGTGAAATTGGTTATTGTAGAAATGGTAACTTGTTGAAAATTGTTATTGTTGAGAATTGGTTTTACTTTTTTATTTAAATGTTGTTATTGTGTAAACTTGAGATCCATTGAAATGTCCCCTGTTTTCTTTCAAAAGCTATATATGATATTTGTAAAATGAGACCGACCGTTTTATATACTTTTGAAACCTTGTTCGAATTTGGGAGGATGTTCCTATAGAGTTTAGTGCTCACTTTTTACAAACAATATCTTTTTCAGATTATGGTCTAAAGGAGGAACTCGGAGTTGATGATGAGCCAACACATTGAGAAACTTCAATAGATGGGAACGTGGATCCCGAGGTCGACGTTTAGAGCTATATTCTTTTATGTTCTAGACTAGGAAATTCATTTTGAGACAACGTGAAGTCTAATATATATATATTTTTTTGTTATTCCGCTGCAAGATAATAGTTGATTTTTGGAATATAATTTTCATAGTTGGGCATATTCTTTTAAATGATGTTGTATATATTGTGGGTGATAAATAAAATTCTCTTTAATTATGAAGTTTATTTAATTGTTCTCATGATGTGAATAATTTTTAAATAGTAATATCGTCAAAGAGAAATTTTGGGACGTTGCATAAACCTTACTGAACTGGCGTAAACCTTACTAAATTGGGACAATCGGGGTTGAACCAAACTTGGATCGGTCTGGTCTGAAGGCTACTAGATCTGGCTGAGTCTCCTAGATCTGGGTCCAGACCTGATTCTAGATTTGGATCTGGGCTGGGCTTAGATCTGTCACCCAAACCCTCAACTAACCCAGCTCGAGTGGGTCGTCTTCTTCGCCAACCAACCCTAATTCTACCTTTACTGTCGACGGCGTCAAGAGAAGCCACCAACATTGACCACACCAGTCGACGGCGCCAATGTCCAGCAACTACCACCACCACTAGACGAAGTCACCAATGTCAATGACTAACAGCCACAAACGTCAGCCACACCATTACGAAGTAGAACCAAAAGCCACCAACGTCGACCACACTAGTCGACGGTGCCTCACACCCAACAAGTGACTACCACCACCACCGGACGACGGATCACCACACAACCGCGATTGAACAAGAAGCCACCAACGTTGACGGCGCCTCACAACCAACCAGCGACTACCACCATCACCAGACGAGGGTTTTCGACAGTAGGCACAACAGCGACGACTTGAGTTAATATTTGGATTTAAAATTATTTTACTCTAATACTATGTTAAGTTGAGAGAATTAACAAAATATTAGAGAGAAACAGAGAATGGTCAAAACTTAACCTACCTTTCATAAACCACTTGAATTTATAGTTAACTTATAATAATACAAAAGACATATACACCCTCTAATATTTATACATAATACCTTAATACTCTTAACATACATGAAGAACCATCACCCTTAAGACACCCAAACAACCAGTGTACCTCTTCCCACCACCCACCCCCATTAAAAAAACGTAAGTTGAATAGGGTCCAAAGACTCACTTTATACAAGGTATCACATTAGTTCTCATGCAGCTAGGTCAGGACATGCACTATGGGGATCCAAAAGATATGTGACATAATAGCTGTACTAAATGGCTTGTCAAGCTTTTATACTCAGACTCGCACTACAACACTTTACCTGTACACAAACTTGAGAGTAGTTCTATAAAACTTATACATATGTCGAGCTAATCATCAAAGTACATGTTTAGTTCCACACTTAATGAACTCCGTAAGATACACTATTCGCTTGACAGTACAATCACTCAATTCTGTAAAGCCTTGTCCCAGTTCTTTGGGGTCCACCACGTGAATTTTATTCCTCAGTGTGCTTTATCACTGGTCATTCAAAGTTAATTTTGGTCAACCTCCACCCTTCGCATGACTGTTTTTAGGAATTATATCACTCTTGCTCATTGGTGCAGTAATAGATCCAAACCACCAAAAGTCCATTATCTCATAACTTATCTTCAATCGATACTACTCCTAAAGTTTCACGAACATACTCAGTCCTACCTTTTTGGTTATACTGGAAGTTTATCTTAAAATTCTCATTGCTATTGCACTTAATCTTTGAACATGTTTGTTAATTGCCTAACATTTTGCTAACGTCAAGCATTGCTGGTCACACGGTTATTTTCAAAGCAACCTGCAGTTGAAGAGGTATATGTCATTCATGGTCTCACGCAATGCACCATATGCATTTCTTTGCCAAGTACATCCTAATTAATTTTATAAAAAACATCGTTTCCAATTTCCCTTTCTCATGAATTAGAATCCAAACATCGAAAATATTTGCTCTTTGGTATCATTGGATCTTCAATCTTTATTACCTCCCTATTTTTGAATATCTACTTTTATAACATTATATTATACTTTATATATCTCTGATTTTAATTCGAATAATCTTGAATCTTTTGATTGTAAAGTTTCTCTCCAACTCATTTTGATACTTTACTTTAATCTATCAATAATATATCATAAGCAAAAATGCAATCTCATCTTGAATGTGTCCACTTTATTCATCTATAACTAAAGGGAAAAAAACCGAATGTAAAGCAAAAAGCTTAATTAAAACTAAGGTGATTCAAAATTTCACTATCGTGTTCTGCCATTTATCTCACCAAAGTAATTGCACTATTTTATATCTCCTTAATCATATCAACATACCTACTTATAACTCTTTAATATCTAGGACATATCATACTATTCCTACGGACTTGATCATAAACCTACTCTAACCCTATAAAATCCATAGCATATCTTTTTTTTTTTAATCTCTATACCTCTCTATTAGTCTCGAGTATATATGGCTTCAATAGTTAACCTTGCAAGCATAAACCCAAACTGATTCTCAAATAATTTTTGTGTAATGAGTGGTCCTCTCATCATTCTTTCCTCGATTTGTGTAATGAATGGTGGATTAGTTGTGACCTTGTGATGTTTAGGGATAGGAGAGTTTCAAGTTCATACAGAAATTAAGGGAGGTATATAAAAAGATTGTTGGAGATGCTAAATTTAGGGAAACAATGAGGTCTTGAAGGAAATTAAGGAAAAATATAAGCTTGACAGAGAATGGTACCATATCAAATCAATTAATTAAGGAGGAGGGTTCCTTGAGAAACGATTTGGAGGACAATTTAGTGACAAAAAAGACTAGCTAGAGACAGATGTGCCAGTTGTTTGTAATAAAGGATTGAAATAACCTTCTAGTGCATATTTCCAGTCAAAAGTAAACGTTTTGAAAATGTTAAGAAAACATTTTGGTATCAAAATGAAAACCCAATAAAATTTTGATTCTGAAACATTCCAAAACATTGGCTAAAAGATTCGGAATCACCCCAAAACATGTTTCCACTTTGATCCTGTATTACAACCCAAATTTTTCCTGTCTAGGCAATTGCCACGAGGAGGAAGAGCATTATTAGAGTTGGAAACTGAGTCATGTGAAGTTGTGAGAGATGCTTTGTTTATTGCGAAAGAGATCATTGTCTTCTCAAAATGTTTGTGTACTATGATATTCGTTTAAGATCTACAACAGAAGGTGTTAATTGGAGTCCCATAACATGTAAGCAAGCGAGTTGGCTTGAGAAGAAATTTGAGGAGATCTTCAAAGCTGTTTTTCATATGGATAAGGAAAAAATCCCAGGTCTTACTGTATTTTTTACAGAGTGTAATATTAAGCTAGAGAAGAGATAGAGAGAATAATTTTCATCAGACTATGAATAATAATTTAGACAAAATCAATAAAAAAGACAAATTTATGAGTTAACCAACGAAAGAGGAGATTTCAATGTGCGAACTATCAGAAAGTGGGAGACACAGAGAAATCAATTATCAGGTGTTTGTGAAGAAAATATCGTGTATGTTAACATGTGCACGCAATAATAAAGAAGAGTACTACTGAAAAAATTACCAGGAATATTTTCTGTGAAACCAAGAAGCCGGCATAATTCAGGGGTTTGTCTATGCTCAGCAACAATCTCAACAAGATTAAGAAGCTCATCCTCATCGAAAGCAGAGGCCAACCCATAGGAAGCTAAAAGATGCAATAAACCTAACACGTCCAAAGACTTCTTACCACCGACCACCATTTTTGCCTTCCACTCTCCTGCAAGTCTCAATGCAGCTTCTCTCACATGAGGTTGAATCTGCGGCAAAATTCTCATCAACTGCTCTAACAAAAGAATGCAGCTACTCCTCACTACATTTCCTTCAAACTCCACATTCTCCTTCTTTAAATGGGGAGGGTAGAACCCTTCCATTGCATCTAAAACCAACTTTGAGGGGTCCGGTGACAATCTTAGAGCCTTGTAAACCTCTTCAGCCATCAACTCATGGTCCTTTCCCCGCCCATTTAAGAACATCTGCAAACTTTTCCCATCCATTGTAACAACGAATCGTATATCTGCCGACAAACAATCAATCTCACCTGGCAGATTTTCTACTGGCTCTGTCTTTACACGAGGGTCAATGGCATTACTGAATTGCTTTCCTTTCGATCCAAATTCTTTAACCCGATCCTCAACTTGTTTCTCTCTTAACTCAATGTCCTTCACGCGCTCTTCAAACAACTTTTGTTCCAACTGGCATTGCTTCTTTTTGGATTGAAACTCCTTGAAGCAATCTTGGGTAAACTTCTTTACTGAATTCAGTTGTTTCTCTCTTGATTCAAGTTCTGCTGCGCGCTTTTCATTCGATTCCTGAGCGCATTCTACTTCTTTTTCTTTTAGTTCGAGTTCTTTTTGGACTGAACCCAAATTCCTTTCCTTCAATTCAAGTTCTTTTCCACGCTCTTCCAACTGTTCCTCTTTAGTATCAAGCTCTTTGGCTCTCCTCTCTATCCAATTCTGAACAGAATTGAGACGTGTTGTTCTATTCTCAAAGTACTCCCCCTTCAAACCAATCTCCTTAAACCTCTCATCAATCAGTTTCTGAATAGGCTCAAATTGCTTTATCTCCAATGCAAGTTTGTCAAAAAGCCCTTCTACCAACTTCTGAGTTGCATCCAATGTTTTCTCCTTCGACTTAACCTCCTCAATCCTTGCCTCGACAGACTTTCTAACCAAGCCCAGTTGCTTTTCTTTCAATTCGAAGTCCTCAATCTGCTCTTCTTGAAAAGCGTGAAACTCTTTCTCCTTGTTTTCCACTTCTCTTAACCGACTTTCGATTGAATTTTGGATTAAATTGAGATCTTTGTTGCTTTCGGAGATTGACTCTTGAATTGAATGCAAGTGCTTCTCTCTCGATTCTAGTTCATCGAAGCATTCTCGGAATGAACCTTGGGTTGAATCCAAGTGCTCTTCGAAATCTTTCCATTCGAGGGTTAGCCAGAGAATTGCCTTTCGTAGGTCGTTTTTCTTAGATTCTGTAAGTTTCAGATTGGCAGATATCTTCTCTAATGAAGCCATCTCCTTATGCAAAAAGCATATGTGAGCATAAGTCACATTATAAACCCTAGAAGCCTATAAAATTCAGTAGAGAGTTGCAACAACTGTTTAGAATAGGTCCTTATCGAACCAGAGAGAGAATGCTTCAAGTATTTCCATGGAGAAAAAGAATGTTGGAGAGAGAGAGAGAGAGAGAGAGAGAGAGAAGGGTAAAGAGGTTTTTTTTTCGCTCGAGAGAGGGTAAAAGAGTTGGTTTAGTTTATTCTACGGGTTTTCATAATTTTTTCGAGTACTTGAATTTTTTTTTTCGTTAATTAACCAACTAAATTATATAATTGTGATGAGACTCTTCTTAAATGCCCTATGATGAAGACACGTGTCCTCTGTTATGATAAAACACTGTTGCTTGGATCAAGCACCATCGGCGAACGAATGTCCTCGCCCCCGAGGTACCCTCATATAGGATCATGCGTTCAGTATATTATACAACCAACACGTGTCCTCGGTCACCAATGTACCTCGGGTCGCATACCTCTCTCGGTCCCCGAGATGAGCCTTTCCTCGGTGCCGAGAGTTGCTCTGTCCTGGACGCTTTCTTCTACTCCAAGATAAGCTATTGACGTATAGGTCACTAGCCTAGGCTAGTCTAGGCTGCTCATCATGACCTCGTCTTACACAAGTAATGTCAGAACATACTGGAATACAGAAGTCACAGCCAATACGGGATGAACGCGTGGCAAATGATGTCACATCAAAGACAGACAAACCGCATGCCGTTGCTGACACGCGGCTTGGGAAAGCAAACAATTAATTGCACCCTTCTGTTGATGAGACCGCATTCAATGCGGTAAGGCTCGGAAATGAAAGGCAATAAATGCTCCCATTACAGAGCATTTATTGCATCCTCCCCGAGAGAAGCGTATTGTACCGTCGGCATCCCGACGACTCAGCATTGATTGCTCGGTACCCCGAGCAGTCAATTAGAGAAGACATTCCTCACCAGAATCAATACACACGCTACCTGTACCTAATGATCACCTACTGACCACACTGACAGCAATCATGAGCTTTTAAGGTATAAATTCTCCTCCCAAAAGGCAAGACGGGTATGCAATCAAAAAACTCTCTAGTATAATAGATTTTCTCAGTGTTCTCTCCTTCCTCTCTCTCACTCAAAGACTGACTAGATCGTCGGAGGGGATACGCTGGAAAACACTCCGGCCCCCTTCTAACCTGTTCCTCTTTGTTCCAGGATCCTTTTTTAGCCTTACTGGATCGTTCTCCCTCTCACCCAGGGTCTCCCGTTGCCGCTCCAGTTTACCATCTGACCTCGCAGGCTGTTCCAAAGCAGCGTGGTTAGTCACTCAGCCGGTTCACGCAAAGTTCACCAAGGGAGAGAGCTGTTCCCGTTTTTTATATTGTGCAGGATCTTGCACGCACAATCTGGCGCCGTCTGTGGGAAACGACTAGTTTTCCTAGTTTTTTCTCTATAAAGAACAGTGACCATGGTGAACACTCGACAGAAAGGGAAAGGACCCCACCAAAGGAGTCTCGAGTTACAAGCTCCCTGTCATCACGGAGGGAGGGATCACACCAACACGAATAAAAGTGCCTCTACTCGGTCAAGAGGGGTTACCCCTCAAACCAGTATGGGAATCAGGTCAGGGGGATCAGCCCCCTTGGCTCGTCAGCTGGCGGAGGTGATTGAAGAAAAGTTTGGCGATAGATTACGACAGCTGGAAAAGGACAATGTAAACGTCCTAAGCCGGCTCAACGAGTTTGCCGCCTCTGGCGAAGGATCGAGGGATTCATTCCTTTCTCGTGGGCTTCCCGCCCGGGAGGCGGAAACGAAGGATCTAAGAAACCACCTAAACAACAAAGCAGAAAGCTCTAGGGCCCCAAAGCGACCCAGAGCCGGCGAGCATCATCATGACAACCATTCAAGGAAAGCAAGGCCATTGGCCCTGGACGACCTCCGGCGAGGTTTGTCTAGACGGAGGAAGGGAGATGAATCCGAGGAGGACTCAACCCAATCCACACGACGCCCAGGAAATGAGGGGCTTACCGATGAACTCAAGGACTTCAGAAGGCATCCCGTCAGGGAAGAAATTGATCTCAGAGCCCGGTTAGACTCCAGGAGAAAGGGTAAGGCTGTCCAGGATGAGGCCGAGGACGAAGTCATACAAACACCCTTTACGAGGGAGATCGGTGAGATGGAGGTTTCAAGAAAGTTTGTCGTGCCGCGGTTCAAAACTTATGACGGGCGGTCCGATCCCGAAGCCCATGTCAGGCAATACAAGCAGATGATGTCCCTCTATCATTCGGACCAACGGTTTCTCTGCCGAGTGTTTCCTATGAGCTTGGGGGACTCTGCGATGAAGTGGTTCGAGGCGCTTCCCCCCAACAGTATTGGGTCCTGGAAGGAATTGACTAAGCAGTTCCTGACCCGATTCATTACGGGGAGTAAGCGCCCCAAAGACATTGGATCATTGTTGACCCTCAGACGGAGGGAATCCGAGACTCTTCGCCAGTACGCCATCCGATACTGGGAAGAAGTCAATGAGGTCGAGGGATGCTCGGAGGTCATGGCAGCAGCATCTTTCCGGCTCGGCTTGGCGAGGGACACGGACCTGTACCGATCCCTGACCAAGAAGACTCCCTCGGATATGGGGGAACTGATGGCCCGGATCAACAAGTACTCAAGGGTCGAGGACGAGATGGGAAGCAACAAAGGCCGAGCCCTCCAATCCAAGAGAAAGGAGAAAGAGCGCGAAGATATTCCCCGAAAGGGATTGCTACCCCATCCAGGGGGTTCGTCCAGAGGAGTTCACACCGTCTTCAAGGAACCCATCTTCAGGTTGCTCCATAAAATCAAACACGAGCCGTTCTTCAAATGGCCGCCCAGGATGCAGAGCGACCCCTCCACCCGTGATCAAAAAGTTAGGTGTTCATATCACCGGGATGTCGGGCATCGCACCGAGAGCTGCAGGGTGTTCAAGTCATTCTTGGAAAGCTTGGTCCGAGACGGACATTTGAAAGAATACATAGAGCCTAGGCCAGAAGAGAAACGAGCCCTTGCCCCGACCGAGGAACCGGACAACGTCATAGACGTCATCCATGTATGTCCGCTGGAGCGCCCCACGTCCAAAGAGCTCGAATCCGACCTCAAGAGGGTAGCTTTTACAAGAAAGGTAGCCGAGGGAGATGTGGGGCCATCAAGTAAAAGGGCCAGGATGGGTGAGCTTGGCATTACGTTCTCTGACGCGGATTTGACAGGCGTGGTGATTCCTCATAACGACGCCCTTGTCTTGACCCTAAAGATAGGGAAATTCGATGTCAAGAGAATTTTGATAGATTCAGGGAGCTCCTCGGAGGTGATGTACTTTGAGACTTTGAAGCAGATGGGCTTTGGCCCCAAAGACCTAACCAAAATCAGGACACCCCTCATCGGGTTCAACGGCTCTTTCACCTTGCCCGTGGGGAAAATCACATTACCGGTCGCCACTGGTCCCTTCGTCATCCACACAGAGTTTGTTGTGATCGACACGGACTCTGCTTACAACGTGATTATGGGGCGAACATGGCTGCACGCGTTGGGAGCGGTGCATCATGGAGATCCGGGGGGACCAAGCGTCTGCGAAGAACTGTTTTTATTCGGCCGTCCAAGCCGGGGCGTCCAGCCAGGAGAAGGGGCGAGCACCGGAAGAGATCATGGAAAAATAGCAATTACAGTCCAGGCGTCCGGGGATGGATGACCCCCGGGTAGACTCAGCTGAACGATCGGTTGAAGACCTCCGGAAGGTGCCCTTGGTTGAAGGAGAAGAAGAGAAGTATTTCCTAGTTGGGACCTCGATGCCCGCAGCCGAACAGGAGGAGATGATCAGGTTCTTAAGGGGAAATACAGACGTGTTCGCCTGGAACGAAATGGAAATGACAGGAGTAGACCCNTCAAAGACTGACTAGATCGTCGGAGGGGATACGCCGGAAAACACTCCGGCGCCCTTCTAACCTGTTCCTCTTTGTTCCAGGATCCTTTTTTAGCCTTACTGGATCGTTCTCCCTCTCACCCAGGGTCTCCCGTTGCCGCTCCAGTTTACCATCTGACCTCGCAGGCTGTTCCAAAGCAGCATGGTTAGTCACTCAGCCGGTTCACGCAAAGTTCACCAAGGGAGAGAGCTGTTCCCATTTTTTATATTGTGCAGGATCTTGCACGCACAA